TTGTTCTGCCAAATTTCGCCTAAAACCTTAAATTAACTGCTTTACGGAGTAATCGCGCACTGATGTGAACCGTTTTCTATTTCCCTCTGTTTGAATTGCTGAATTCCTATCGGCTGTTAATACTTTCAATGCATCGCTTAACTAGTGCAGTTTCAAGGCATTCTACCCGTACATATACAGAATTTCTGTCTAACATTTGAACTGTTGGAAACAATAAAAATTCTCTTATCAACGTCCAGCTTTTTCTTTTGTCTTTGCATCCGAGAGGTGTTATTCTTGTTGTCACTTGTGAAATGCGATTAGGATATATTAGCCAACTCACTGAGTGAGTATTCGCTCATCGTCTACTAGGTCGCATTTCCTGTCATAACTGTATCTGTTCTCTCTGAACCTGTTTTCAGTAACGATCAACTATTTTCCTTATCTTTCAGGTGATTATAATTTTCCTTTGTTTCTCTGTTTATTGTTCAGGATCATTCAAGTTTACTTCTGTAAAGAAAAAGGATAATGCACTGAGTTCTGTTGTCCATTTCAAATATCGTTTCAATGACACCATAGGCGCCACCGAAATTTAACCTTATTCAAACTTAACCTCTGACTGGGTATTTCCTCTGATTTTTTCTGGTTTTCCCACATCATTTTAATTTCCAGAAAGATATTTCGTTTAACATTCGACGTAAGGATGTTAAGGCAATCTGATATCACTCAGTCAGTCTCTACTTTCTAAGTCTATTAATTCCTGTAATCTGCCTAACCTTCTATACTGCTCCTCTCCCTCCAGCCTAATCTCTCCTGGTTTACCTCAGAAAGATTTTGTATACTGCGAAGGCCACATCAAAGCAGTCAGTAGGGCGAGTGAAGTAACGCTAAACCATCTCATTAGTACTCTTGTAGGTAGACACATGGACTTTTGGAAGAAATGAACAAACCTTATCTTGTCAAACTCTGAGAATCCTGTCAATACACAACTCTCTCCTTGCTTCTCTCTCATCAGGTAGGGGAACTAGAAGCAACTATAGAAGACTTTATGTTCGGACGAATAAGTGTGAAGACTCCAGAATTATTATCAATTTTCTGAGGAACTGTAAACAAACGGCCTTATTTCGGTTTCTTAGCGTCATATTGTTGTCAATATTTTTACTCGATTTAATTTTACATTCATATTCTTACTGAACAATAGTGTTAGTAAAGCAAATTGTTATTAGCATTACTATTATTATGGTTGCTATTATTACCAGATTCTTTCTGTCCATTTCTTCACTAAAAAACAACCTGCTTGATGTTTTTATTTGACATGTGTCACTCCCTGAATGCATTTCACAGTATATAACATGTATAACACACTATGATAAGTACTCGAGGAAAACTTTGATAAAATTAGGTGAATTCATTGCCCCATTCCTTTATCAACATTCATAGTCTCCAAATGATTATATTATTATTGTATCCTTTAGTTCCTAGAGGAACATAGGGCTTCAGCAGCGCACCTCCATTGCTTTCAGTTTTCTGACAACTTTTTCACCCCGCTCCAGGTCTGTCCACATGCTTTCATCTCCTCCTCGCATGACCTCCTCCAAGTCACCCTTGCACTGACGACCAACTCGCCGCTTCCCTTTCGGGTTCCACTCTAGCAATGGCCTGTCTAGTGATGTCACTTGATGGTTTCCTCAGTGTATGGCCAATCCATCTGCATTTCTTCCTGCCTGTTTGTTTCACAATCGGTTCCTGATTGGTTCGCTCCCAGAGATCCCTGTTTCTGATCTTTTCTGGCTAGCCATCTGATCTTGAGTACTGAGCGTAGACAACTGTTAATGAAGGTCTGAAGTTTGTTTGAGATGCTCTTTACGACGCGCCAGGTCTCTGATTCACATAGTAGCACTGACTTCACATTGGAGTTGAAAATCCGGATCTTATTTTTGATGCTGAGTGCTGTTGACCTCCACACAGACTTGAGAGTAATGAAAGCTTGTCTTGCTTTTCCAATTCTGGCTTTGATATCCTCGTCAGTACTGTCGGCCTGTAGTTGAAACGATGCTTCCTTGGTCGGTAGGTAGAAGGATGTTGTTTCTTTCAGATTCCTCCCATTTATACTGGCTGATTGTTGTCTGTTATTGTCTCTGTTGCTGTTGATGTTGGCCAGGAATCTTCATCACCTTTGTTTTCTCTATGTTCACTTGAAGGGAGTCCTATCTTTGATGCTTCTTGTGCCAACTTGTTACTTTTTACTTGCATATCTTCCAGTTTATGGGAAATCAGACATATATCATCGGCGAAATCCAGATCCTCCAAGTCTTTTGTGTCAGTCCATTTTGTGCCTGTTCCCTCGTTGGTTGCCGTTGTCTGTCGCATTAACCAATCAATTGCAATCAGGAAGATCATTGGTGATAGTAGACAGCCTTGCCTCACTCCCGTCCTCACTTCGAAGGCTTCCGTAAGTTTCCCGTTGTGGATTACTTGGCATGCAGCATTGTCGTTTAGCTGTTGGATGAGATGTATAATTGTCGATGGGACCCCGTAGTAGTATTTGATGCTTCTTTGCCAACTTGTTGCTTTTCACTTGCATATGTCTCCAAATGAAAGTGTCATGAATTTTCACCTCAAAGTGAGAAATTCACCGATTAGGAATTTGATCCTAGTTATTATCACTTTGCCAACAGAGTGGTGTTCAGATCCCTTCTATCTTACAGGTCAGTAATCACTACTGGTTGATATGAGAGGCATTCAACTACGCATACAGGTCAGGAGTATAAATCATCATCTTTTATGGTATGCAGCGTATGACATGTTGTGATCTGAAAAGTTTAGGCTTCCAAAAGGAAATCATGAGGCATTTTCAACACGAAATGCATAATTCACAAATCAGAAATCTGCAGCTCAACTTTAACTCTAATTCTCACTTCTTCATTCTCATCATAACTCTAAAGCTTTGTATGGCATAACTGGAAAAAACGGCCTCTATCAGATTCGTTAAACATGTACCGAAGACTCACCAGTGAAATGGACCAAACAGTGTGAACTCGTCAACTGCAAACACTTGACAGACGTAGGACACTGAGTTGACCTACTGATAGCGTTCAAAATGACTAACACAGAAAAACCGCCTACGTATTGTTCAATTTGATGGGCCTATCGTAATAATATGACAGAAACCTGACCTATGTGTTCAAAAGGAAACTGTCACGGGACTTTACAGATATCCTGGTAACTTTCTCCTTAGTAACTCTTTTGATTTTATCATTTTGTTTCAACGCGCACCCAATTTTTCGCTTGTCATTTGTATCAGACTTAGTTTTCATCTCTTACTTGCAGTTGAAGAGAATCAAGAAAATTCAGTGGATTCATACTGTTCTCTACACATTTTTGTTCTGTCTCAGTCAAATGTTTCTGATTTATTCAGCAAAAAGAAATCCAGAACTTCCATTCTGCTTCAAGCAGTAATAAAATGTTTCATTAATTTAAATATTTATTACCATTTTATGCTGTTAGAAGATGATATATTCACAAAGGTAGTAATCTGTGACACTAATGGTTAGGGAAACTCTAGAAACAGTAGAATTGCCTGCAGTGTTGGGAAGTTTCTCTTGGAAATTATGTGATATGGAAACGAATTGGTGAATAGTGGTTTGCTAACAAGCTGTGTACACCAACTGTTATCTCTTTGTTATAAAAATGAAAATGCCCTTATAATATTTTAGCCCCAATCTAATAAGATCCAATTTTATCACAGCTATTCGTCGGATGTAAAAAGTTGACACATCTATCCACATGGCCAGTAGCATCCATCCGGTTGGCAGTGAGGAGAAACACTCGCCGCTGATACCAGTCGGGCTAAATTCACTAATTGGTAGACTTTGGCACTTGGATGCAGTCCCAGTTTTTGAATGACCCACGGTTTTCCCGTGTAAATGGAAGGTATTTGGTGAGTACTGCTGAGGAATCCCTGATTAGGATAAAACCTCTGGTCAGTACTGTCTGTTGGTTTTCAATGGTTCTCTAACATGCATCAATCCGTGATCAAATTTAAAACAAATCAGAACCCTAGAAACTAACTCTGGAACAATTAAAACCAAACAATAAGTGTTTAACTCGGTAGGTTTTCGTCACATAGCATCATTTTCATCGTTTCTATAAACTGGTTATATGCACTAAATTCATAAGCTAATATTTAGTATTCCTGTGGTACATGCTACTTACATGTGTGATTAGTAGTATATAGACGCAAATTGATAGAAAGTAGCCAAAATTGAAAACAGTATTTTAAGTCAGTAGCTACGGAAGTTGAAGAGTTTACTTCTCAAATCTGGATCTAGCCTACGATGTGGCCAGGAAATAATCTGAGGATTTAACCTTCAGAAAACCAAAAACTCATCAGAACAGTTTATCATCCTCTGACCTTTTTCCTTTGCGTTCTTGAAGTTTCAGTACCATTGGTGTTTATTTTTACGGGATTGGGTTGCTAGCCTTGTGCCCAACCTTCTCTCTTTACCAGTCTTATTACTGGCACAGTGAGGTAAAGGAGTGCGTCCATGGCAGGGGATTGAAGCTCAAATCATCTGCCACCGCTGACCTAGCCAACCAAAAATGAGGCTAAAAATGTACAGAAATGGTGTGCTTTTCTTCAAGAGAAAAGTCTGTTACCGAGTCTCTTGCCTTTCCCTCTTCCCTTCTTACTGTTATACGCCGATATGTGTGTTTACTTTTGAATATTTTTCGCATATTCAAAGTGAATGCTCACATGTATGTGTTTGTGAGCTTGGACACTGAATTCCGCTCCTGTAACACGGCTCAACGGAACACCGACTGTAAACAAGCGGACAGAGAATGTTTGTGTTCACAATTGTATTTGAGAACATTTTGGTAGAAATGGAAAATACAGGTGCATAGACAATAACACCGAATAATTCATAAAAATAAGACTTGAGAAAATGTCAGGAAATACTTCGGGAGTGAGTAATTCATTCGAGAGAATACGAGTTGTTCTTTTTGGCCAGCGGATTGCATTATTTGAGCATTTTCTGAAGAGGAAGAAAGTTGTGAAAGAAAAGAGTATATAAAATACAGTTAAATAAACTAACTGTTCTCACTTTATTTTAATTTTTTACATTCCTTTACATCCCTAGTAGAACATAGGGCTTCAAGTTAGAGGCTTGAAGTTCTGATAATAGTGGTGTTTATTTTTAAGGAATGTGGTTGCTAGCCTCATGCCGAATCTTCCCTCTTTACTAGACTTATTGCTGGCGTGCGTCTGCCAGGAATCGAACCCCTAACCACCTGAATTGTTGGCAAGCATTCTACCGACACACTTTTGTTTTAATACATTCTCCAAATTCAAAAAAATGTAATAATGGAAAGTATGCTACAAAATCGAAAGGGGTGTGGTCTAGACATTCTTCTGATAAAAGGTCAAACAGCAAGTGAAAAGCATAACGTAAGTCGGAGGTATTAAGCAAGAAACAAGTTTGTACACTGATGTGGCTCTGCAGGTAGTTAAGAATGAATTGGAAATTGATCCTCAACCTACAAACAGAACAGAACTTTGGGTCGATGAAGCAATATTAGGTGATCACTTGTGTCTAACCTCAACTATTTGCATATTTCGAAATAAAACAGACAAATAAACAAGCAAATGGGGTAGCGATGTGACCGCTAATATCCTCAATGGTAGCAGGCAGGATTGTGGATAGCTGGTAACTCAAAGTTCATAGGATATTCAGTCCTGCTCCTAAGTTTTGATGAAGCTATTTAGGTGACATATTCATTGTATCGAAATCTGAACATTTCTCTAAGTTATTTACACAAATAAGCCAAGTGCTAGATGGAATCCAACTTACTTTGAGTAGGAAAAATAACAAGGTGAGTTTAGCTATGCGCGATTATAAAGTAAAACGAAAACAAGATGATGGGTTCTGTACAAGCGAGCATTTACAAGAAATCAAGGCACACTCTGGTAATAAATGTTTAGAATTTACTTCATCCTATGCACACTCGGTTAAGGGAGATAGGTTTGGTTAAATTGTCAATATATTATCGGGCCAGGAGCCTAAATCAGAAGATTTAAATAATAAAGTTAAATGGTGAATAACCGACTACCCACGGGAATTTATTCAGAAAAGTATGAGAAACCATAGAAAGGATAAGATTAGCAGTTAAAATTATTAAAGTAACACAAATAATATGGATTTCGACGCCTCTGTAGTACTGACGTACAAAGGAGGAGCATCAGAAGCCCTTTGTGAGATTCTTAATGAAGCTGAAATTAAGATGAAGTTGAAACCAGCAAACCAGTTCACTCAGAGACGGAATTAAAACTCGATAAATCTAATTAGGAAAATAATATAATTTGTTAAATACCACATAATGACTGTGAGGTGAATTAAAAAGATCAAACTAGTAGACTGGGGTCATTCAGATCATCAGAGTATGGCGATTTTGCTAGACCAAGAATGACTGACTATGGTGATTGACAATTTCTGTTACTGTATTGTTTAAATACTCACTGTTAATATTTATCGCGTTAACTACAAATAATTCTGTCAAATACAAATTCTCAAATTCATCCATCTCTGCGTTGTTGGTTGGTTTCCTGTGATTCGGTCATTGCGAAATACTACTGTTGTTGTGGAATTAAATAAACTTGGAAAGTTTCCGATCAACAGTTCACTGTGAGAAACCGCCAATTATCTTGAATGCTTTGATGCATGGTGCAGGTCGAAGAATGTTAGTAATGACAAAAATTCAGCTCATTTTATTACTGCGACTGGGTTAGATGCGTAAAGGCTCTGTCATTTCCAGATAAACCAATTTCTCTGACATTTGATAAACTCTGTGGACTACTAATAGACCACTTCCACATAACTACTTTTGAAACACTCAGTTCAAAAAACTTGTTCATGCTCCGAACCAGAAGATTATAGACTTTATTCTCCTACTCCCAATACAAGCTTCAAAGTGCAACTTTGGAGATCAATTCCATACTGAACTACGTGATCATCTAATTTCTGAGATCAGTATTCCGTAGCTAGAGAAAGAGTTGATTCAGAGTCATTAGTGTACACTTCAAACTGCAAGGGAATTATGTATTACATATGAAGACGTCAATGATGAATACCTAGCACCCACTACATCGGTGTCTGATGTCATGCTGTCCAGAGTTGATAATGCAAGTGTTCATGAAAACAAATCCAAACTGTCATCCATATGCAACAGAATGCAGACAGAAAGTAAAGACATCAAACTGTGTTTTTCACATGGAAAGATTCATCTACGACGTACTTGCCGCTTTCGGGGTACTAAGTGCTATAAATGTAGTAAAATCGGGCAAATAAAGTCTGTTTCCCGGAGTTCAAATATTTATGCTACTCGGAATTCTCATGATTCTCCCGACTTGTCTGGTAAAATGCAGTCAATGTATCTTCCAGGTTTTCACAGCATTAAATCTCATCTGATGAGAACCTTCATTACAAGTTCATGCAAGTCTCACTCTTTCATAATTTATTCTGGGAGTAATAAATCTATAACTTCTAAGAAAGTTTTACTATCGCTTTGTAAGCATGCCCAGGTAAACCCTACTACTAGTTCCATTACAGATATTGATGGTACTACTAACACTGTTTTGAAATCAGACAGTGGTAGTTTTGTGAATATCTACACAACTGTGTCCGACGTAATAAGGTATTTGTCAGTTTGTAAACTCATAGCAGTCCAGCGCAGTAATAGTGGTTGGACCTATTTCTCTTGCGTACACAGAACCCGTTGTCTCAGGTGATCGCGATAGCCTCTGCTGTTTGGATAGCAGTACATGGAGGATTTTGGCAATATTGGTATCCGATAGGTGATAGAGAGAAACTCTTCAATATTGGCTATTTGGCCGATTTGGAGTTTTTTATTGTTCCCTTGGGTTCCTAGTGGAACACAGGGCTTCAACCTCTATCAGGTGTGCGTCGGCGTGGGCTCGAACCTCGGACCATGTGCATGATCAGCGAGAGTCCTAACCACTGTGCTTTGTTTGTTCCCACAGTTTCCTGTTAGTGATTCTTTCCGGCCCGGCCATCTGATCTTCAGTATAGAGCGAAGATAGTTGGTTGTTGATAAAGGTCTGCAACAGGCTGTTGGTAATATTCTTTGTGACCCGCCCACCAACTTTCTGATCCGTATAAAAGAACTGGCTTGACGTTTGTTTGTATTGAAAATCCGACCGAATTTTGTTGTTGATGTTGAGTGATGAAGATTTCCAGATTGGTTTCAGGTTGATGAATGTGTTTCTCGCCTTCCCGACTCTCACTCGATTTGACATCCTCTTCCGTTCCTCCTGTAGTTGAGACAATGCTCCCTAGATAAGTGAATGAAGTGACCTCTTTCGAATTTCTCCCGTCGATGGTGATTGGCGCTGGATGTTGCTGCTGCTGTTGTTGTTGTTGGCTGGTTATTTTCATAACCTCCGTCTTGTCTATGTTCGCTTGGAGTCCTGTCTTCGCCGGCTGCTACTTCGACCAGTTTTTTGGTTTTCGCTTGTAAGTCTTCGATTTTGTTTGACATCATACATAAATCATCCACTCGCGAAATCCAGGTGTTCTAGGTTCTTCACATCGGTCCAGGATATCTGTATCTTCTCGTTTCCCACTGTCTGAGGCATAATCCAGTCTACCACAATTAGCAATATCATTGGTGATGATGCCTAATACGACATCGAAAATGACAAAGTAATCAAAGATGAATCAGTGTAATACTGACAAAATATAAGACCAAAGAATAAGCTAAAATATTAAAAGTCTTCAATATGATTTGCTCACCTTTAAATCGGAAGAGATGCAAACGAATTCACCATTGTGGAAATCTGCAGTACCATTGTTACAAAGAGGTGGCTGAGACAAATTCACCTTGATTTATTGGTTGTTTTGTAACCTTTTAAAAGTATGTTGAGGATTAAAATAAATTGGATTATTATTAACAGTAATAATCAAAAAAAAATATGCTAAAATTGAGTACACTTCAGCATAAAATAACTGCTACTGAAAACACGACTATTTATTCGATTTGTACATGAAATATTATTGCAATGGCACGCATTATCATGAAACTGTTTCACCTGTTAGATGTTTCATCGTTGCTTTCATGAGATACATAAAAGAAAAGTAAATGGACATTCACCTTTGTCTATATTCAGGAAGAAGACACAACTCAAGAAAATATTTGGATTTTCAACACTTAAATCAAATTTACAATTTGTAACTTTCCACACTTCGAGGAGGTGAAATTTCTCGTGCAGCTTCCCTTGGAAATCGGAATTATTCAGGTCAGCCTGATACCATAAACGGTAATCATGAAAACTAACCATAATTGTACACTGAAGCGAAATATTCCCATTTTGAGTCATAAGAAAAAGGCGGAAACAGGGAAGAAGAAGATTTTCTTTTCAACGATTCACTTTCATACATTCTTTCATTCTCTTGAGCATTTTTGTAAGGAGCTTTTCTGTTCTTTCCATAATGTCTTTCTGATTGGGTAATTTGGAGAATTCAGTGTTGTCTGATAGTATGTTTGTTAATTTCTCAATGTAGTAGGATCTATTTTTCACCACAATCCCATTGTTCATATCAAAACGGACGAGGATTATGTCTTATTTTTTTTTGAGGCTTTTTAAGTTGTTTTCTGTGATTTTCTTTTTCGGCAGATAACGATGGCTTGATTGTGTACGACCTCTTCATTCAAAACCACTACATACATTCACTGGCCCCACCGTGGCTTCCCTTTTATTGTGTAAGTTTACTATTATTATCGTTATTACTTTATTATTTTATTATCTTATTATTCTAATCATCCGTATTTTATTACCACTCTTTTACTGTTTTGTGCGTCGGTGGCACAGTGGTTAGGACTCTCGCCAACCATGCACATGGTCCGAGGTTCGATCCCTGCCGACTCACACCTGATATCTATGGTCGACCTGCAAAATTTGGGCCAGCGATATCCATGCTAAAAATTCCATACTTGTACCAAAACAACAGTGTGTAATCAAGCTGTAATCAAAAATAAAAAATAAAAATAAAGTTTATTGATCACATTGCTTTTTCATACAGATTCGATATAAAAACACTTAATCGTCTCTCCAGTAGTTCCTGTCCAATCTAAGCAATTATACTGATTAATCATTTTCATACACTTATTGCGTAATGCTTAGTTTTGCTTTTCCTCTAACATTAAACATGATCGAAGAGAGCTCCCAAAATGTGGATCAAAATAACTGTTATTCCTTATAGAGCAAGCACATTGGATCAAACTAGGAGTGTAATCAACTAATGCAATATCAAAGAACTCTTTAGTATATCAAACACACCAATAAGTAATCATCTTCATGTGGAACAGCGAAGTCAGAAAGTGATTCAAGTCTATTTGAATGTGTGTAAAAGAGACTATGATACAGCATAAATAAGGAAAATTTCTGTAAAAGTCAAGACAAACAACCAAATATTGTATGATCATAAGAAAATGACGTAAATAGTGAGGTAAATGTTCTTTTCGACGGTTTGTTTTTATTAGCTGTCCAATCGTAATTACCATATTTACCAAAGAATTCATAAGACTAATCAGATACAGGTGAAATTTCCGCTAGAAAATATATTACGTTATGTGAAGCGTAATCTAGAAGGTGTAGTCACATTCTCTAGAGGACAGTTAATCCGGTCTAACGTTAAGGATGAGATACCACGCTTAGTCACCTCACTGGTGTGTATTCATCAGTTTACTTGTAAGTGTGAAGCGAAGTATATCGGCTGTACGCAACATCAGGTCCACAAATGTAATCTGAAACACTGTCCAGGGTGGCTAACCGGAGAAGAAAAGAAGAATACTAGCAGCCTCATTCCCTAAGACCTTGTCATCTCTGTACATCGAGCACCCCTACATGAATGCTTCACAGTGCTACACAGACAAAGTTCTCGAATACCTTATCTATACACGGCTCGATCATCGGCCATTCAGGATCTTAAACCAGACCTCTGCGTTCAAAAGCACCACATACATTCACTCGCCCTATTGTAGCCGGAGTAACGTTCATACTATAATTTTGCTTCACCTCATGATATAAGTTAACTATTTAATTCAATTGTAGATTTTTCCCGTCGATTAAATGAACCGAAGTGCTCGGTATCAGGTTGGCATGTTGGCTTCTTGTTCACATGCTTCAAAGATGTCTGAGCGTTTAGTTAGTATTTAACAGATGGATGGTGACTAGCAGTGGCATTCAGGATGCGCGTTCCTTCCTATTTGGGACTCGTCATATGGACATATGGGCCGTTGCAAAAGAGGTGGCTCTCGTAGCCCAAGTGCTCTGGGGGATAATGCTTTGGTGTTTATAATTACGGGCACTGGGTTCAAGCCTCGATGGGAACATCATCGCTCGCTCCGGAATACAGGTACATCCAGTTCACGAGTCCCAAATAGAACGAAATGCGCATCTTGGATTCCACTGTTAATCACCATCCACCAATTAACTTCTAACGTTACTATTATTTTAATAAGAATAATAATTGGCTTATTTCCAAAACAGTACAAATGTTACAGTGTGAATTTTTCAGCATTTGGTACACAGCATTATTATTATTATTCTCATCATCCGTATTTTGATTATCGCGCTTTTATTGTTTACTAATAACACTGCGTTTTCATACAGATTTTATAAAAACACTATCTTCTTTCCAGTAGTTCTTGTCCAGCTTATATTGAAGATCAGATGGCCGGGCCGGAAAGAATCACTAACAGGAAACTATGGGAACAAACAAAACAAGAACCAATGGCCAACCAACAAATATTTAGGAGTAAATGGATGGAGATGGATTGGACACTCGCTGAGGAGGCCGCTGGGTGACATCGCGCGCGTCAGGACATCGCTCGCGTGAAACCAGAAAAGGAAGCGGTGAGTGGGATGTCAGTGCAAGGGTGACATGGAGGAGATCATGTGAAGAGTAGTTGAAACAGTATGGACTAACATGGATGGAGGTTTGATGTGGTTTTGTTCTCTGAGCTGGATGGTTAGTTTGCGCAAACTAACCATCCAGCTCAGAGAACAAAACCACATCAAAATCATCCACCTGAGCTACAAATCCTTTCTATCATATGGATGGAGGTGAAAAGCACAGCAGCAGACAGAAGCAAGTGGAGACGTACAGTTGAAGCCCTGTGTTCCACTAGGAACCCAAGGGAACAATAATAATATAATAACTCTACACAATTATGCTGATTAGTCATTTTCTCACACTTAATATGTCATACCAACGTTTTTCCAATTTCTAGTTAGTGACCACCTTCCAGATTACTCTTTACATTAAGTGATATATTTTCTAGGAGAAATTTTATTTAGTCTTATGAATTCTTTGTTAAATATAATAATTACGATTTTACAGCCTATGTGAAAATCAAATGTGGGAAAGAAAAGTTTCGTCGCCATTTACGTCTTTTCTTATGACTCAGTGTGGGAATATTCTGTTCATTTCATAGTCTTTATTTCTCTAATAAGAGACCAAATACAGTTAGAAAGGCTTGTGAAATTTTTAGGCCATATGTTTATACACTGCAGAATCAGGCCACATGGCCAAGTTTGGTAATCTTTAAATTTTTCCTAACACTTTACAGAATGATAAAGAATGTCTCACCCTAACTGAAACACTTCATATTAATAAAAGAATCGAAATTCTTTTTCTCTAATTCTCTAGAAAGCATAGAATGGCAGTCAAATCCCTGCCTCAGTTTCATTCACTGCGAAAAAGCTTACGATGGCGTTGACCATGAGGTAAATCGGAAACCAATTCAGCATTATGGAGGACAGTACTTCAAATCTTTATCCACCTCATCCAACACTTATGTAATGGAAATGACACATGTCAAGTGATCTACAACAGAAAACTCATAAAGCCTTTAAAGTGAAGACAGGATTAAGACAGGGCTGCACACTTTCACCGATGACATTCTTAATTGTCATGAACTGAAATATGCGGAACACAATCTGGACAGACAGAGAAGGAATACAATGAAAAAATTTCTCTCATGACACATGTATTCCAGATTTCTTTTTTGAAATGAAGTTAGAGTATTTCAAAAGCAACATACACTGACTGAAAGAAGTCTTTGCTTAGTATTCAGTCATTAATAAACTGGTTTAGAAGGACATCATATTGTTAATTGGTAGATGGTGACTAGCAGTGGAATCCAGGATACTCATTTCATCCTATATGGGATTTGTCATTTGGATGTACCTGATTTCCGCATTGAGTGGTGATGTTCCCGCTGAGGCTTGAACCCAGTGCATATAGTTTAGAACGCCCCTAAACCATTTGTGCCACGAGACCCACCTATTTTGCAACAGGTCATATGTCCGGCTGACGAATTCGGGTAGGTCGAAATGCGCATTCTCTATTCCACTGCCAGTCACCATCCACCAATTAAATTTTAATTAAATGCCTAGACATCGTTGAAGCATGTGAACAAGAAGCCGACATGTCAACCTGATACCGAGCACTTCGGTTCAATCAATTCATGGGAAAATTTAAAACTGAATTAAACACCATGTTGTGTTTATTTGTTTCTTTTTTAAACTTCACACTAACAGATGTTAGATGTTATTTATAGATGAAAATAAACATTAGATTGAATCCTAAAGATATATTTATACAATGCTTCTGGCTAGAATTAATTTGCGCAGTTGAAAAGTTAGCAAGCCAGCAAACCACGCAATCATACAGAATCATTAGAAACTTACATTTTCGTGTATTTTTGTGATGTAGTAAATAGGCGTAACACGTGTTATCAAGAAAATCACATTTGGTGTTGTTTACAAGTTGCTAATCTGATTTTAATTAGCTAGCTTGAATTTGTTTCTTAGCTGAATCAAAAGTGATTCACTGCTGACG